TAACACTCGGATGTGTGGAACACCCACAGTTGTTGTCTCTTGAGTTGTGTACAGTTGAATCGTGATTGCGAGGCGTTCTGGGTCAAAAGTTTCGCACATTTGCAAAATCTTGGTGCTTCGCCTCCAACAACCCATGCATCCAGCATGTAGCAGCTCGCTGCAATCGCCCGAAAAAGCACGCTAGCGTCGCAGGAGTGCGCAGCAACTCGGGCCAACTCCTCAGCACATTGACCGCGGAATACCCCGCAACCCTGGCCGCAAGCCTGGTCACGCATTGCGCGTTCAAAGTTCGACGCGACCCGCTGGCGAGCTTAAAAAACCTTGCATCCGTACCCTTTACCCCAACAGGCTCCAGATCTGTGATGGAGCTGGCGTGCGCTCCACAGCGATCATTCGGTACCCCAGCCCGATCACCCGCTGGGGGTAGTAGCGCGCCACAAAATTTGATTCCTAAAGTTCTCGCCCACGTCAGCTCGGATACGCCTGAGCCACCCTTGTCGGCCCAGGAGTCCGAAGAGGCAGCGCTGATCGTTTGTGGGGTGGTGGACATGCCCGCCCCAGCCAGTCTGGCTCCCGACAATGGCCAGCCGTACCGGCTGTCACTGTTGCATGCACTGGCAACCGCGTCGGATGACCCGGGCATCAAACTCCTTCCCTGCTTTCCGAAGGGGCGCCCGCAGGAGCCCTATCCGAATTGCCGTAGCAATGCAGTGGCCGCTCAAAGAGCACGCAGACCTGCCGCACGAACTCACAGAATGCATGGGCAACTGGAAAGCCGCCGAAGCAGAGCCCAACACAGTGTCTGCCCTTTTGGAAAAAGAAATCTCCAACGGGTGGGTCGTCCGCACAGAGATGTCCATCGTGCAGGCTAGGCGGCATTGGAATAAAGGCATTGCAGTAGGCAAACTCAATGTTGCGCATGCAGAAGGGAAAGAACCACGCCTGGTCCTAGACAGCACCGTGTGCGGGGTGAACCCCAAGTGCAATATCCCAGAACGCATCAGCCTGCCGATGGCATCCGACGTGCGCCTCGCATGTGTGCCAGAAGACACGCATGCTTTTCTTTCATAGGCGCAAGTTTTGATTTTAAAGCCGCACACAAGCAAATTCAGGTACACCCTAGCGAACATGGCTTGCTCCTGTTTCGCTTCGCAGACACTCTGTACCATTATCGGGTGTGCCACTTCGGAGCCAGGTTCTCCGCATACTGGTGGCAATGCACAGGAGCTGCTACACGGCATCCTGTCAGCGCACCCGCATAGAGCTTGGTTGTTTGTAGATGACCTTTTGGCTGCACCGCCCAGACGCGCATCAACAACTGGCGCTAGTTGTCATTTTCTTCGCAGCCATCAGTGCGCCCATTTCCTGGAAGAAAGTGCAATTCCAAAACTGCCTGACTTGGTGCGGATGGTCAATCAACTTCAGCCTGGAAACTCTTGAACTCACTCCACTCAAAACCCTGAGGCTGAAAGAGCAGCTGATCGCATTGCTCCGATCCAAAAGAATCAATTTTGGAGCAAGTCCTGGGGCTGCTCATCTGGGCCACCAGCCTAAGTCTGGAATTGAGATCTTGGCTTGCGCCCTTATATGCAGATCTGCATTCGCCGCCAGGATGCATGATCTCAGTGAACGCACGCCTGTGGCCTGCATTCCTTTCGGCGCTGAACGCCAAAGCCGTACTAGCCTCGCCCGTGCGCGGCATCTTTATGCCGCTCGGCTCCAGGATATTAGAATACCAGCAAACCCCAGCACGCAGCCCGTCCGACTTGCCTCGCGTCGTGCCCAGTCACAAGCCAGCGTGGGTGCGCGTAGCCGACGCTGCGAGCACACTCGCTTGTCCACAGCAAGCAGAGCTAACATCGAGTGGCTCCTTCAATGTTTTCAGGCAGACTTGGCATGCCCGCTGCAAAGCAAGCCAATCCTGGCATGCAAAGCAGCCGCCGATGCTTGTGCCGAAGGCACCAAAGTCGGACTAGGCGGCTGGTTTATATCCAGCCGCTCCGTCTCATGGTTCGCAGAAACGTGGGACTTCCAGAAAGTCCAGCAGCAGTGGCCTTGCCTCACCAAGGAGGCCCAACGCTACATAGCGTGCTTCGAAACCTTGGCCCAGCTCGCACAGGGCCAAGCAGTGCGCGGCATATGCGTGCCTTCCGGTACAGACAATACCGCATCAGAAGCCGGAGTGAACAAGCTGTTCACCACAGCACGGCCTTTGCATTTTTTTGTGCAATTGGTCGCCGCATGGGCCTACAAGCACAAATGGTCAGTGCTAGCCTCGCATATCCCAGGCGAGCGCAACGTGTGGGCTGATCAGCTCAGCCGCGGAAACACATCCGCATTCGACAGCAAGCCGCAAGCTCGCTTACGTTTTCGCCCGCGTGATTTCTGGCCCCACAAATCCACGCTGTCATTGCATCCGCCCGACTCCCCATGGCGACCGGAGCATAAGAGTGCTTCGCAAACGCTCTGAAGAGGGGGTGATAGATTAGGCCGTTTGCTTGGAACCCTGAAGTGGGGGCATTTGAGAAGGCTCCGCAGAGGGGTGCGGGGAAAGGACACGCGCTGTCTTTCCCCCTGCACCCCCGAGCCTTAACTTCCAAGCAACGCCTTATAAAACGAAAAAGAGCATGCGCGCATGTTTGTCGGTCGTACTCTTTTATCTTTTGCTGCAGATTGAAGCAGTGATCAAGATTCTAACGTTTAGGGTTTTCCTTTTCCCTTATGTTTTAATCTTGATCGAATCTTCGGACGCGTTGCCGTTTTCTGCTTCAAGCCACCTAAGGGTCATGCGTGAGGGTTTACCCTTCCCTTTTTTGCGCCCACCCTCCCACCCTTTCACCACTCAGGTGGATCCTCCAGGGCCCAGCCGCAGCTGGCGCCCCAGAGATACTGAGCGCACCATGCCCCTGCATGCAGTGGCCGCAAGTTTCAACCTTGCACCGTGTGCCGCGTTGCACACTAACCAGACGCACGCATTGCATCCTCCAGGCTGACGCCCCGGAGGCACTGTGCACAGCATGCCCCGGCATGCAGTGACTGTTTCGACAGGTCTCAACCTGGCGCCGTGTGCCGCATTGCACACCAGCCGGATGCACGCATTGCATCCTGCCGCCACCAATGCCTTCGATTGTTTCACGCCTCACAGGTAACACACCTGGCGCCTGGTCGAACACGCATTGTTGACCACGGGGGCATTTGAGCAGGCTCCGCAAAGGGGTGCAGACACGGGGAAAGGACACGCGCTGTCTTTCCCCCTGCACCCCCGAGCCTTAACTTCCAAGCAACGCCTTATAAAGAAAAAGAGCATGCGCACATGTTTGTCGGTCGTACTCTTTTATCTTTTGCAGCACGTACCCTTTCGGATTGAAGCAGTGATCAAGATTCTAACGCACCCATATTCAATCACCGGCAGTGGTGACTTCCATTTTCAATTTACCAATTCCTTTCTGTGAACGGGATCTGGTCAAATCATCGAGTCCGCAACGACGCGTCAGGTTCTGCATCCGGTGAAGCAAGTGAATCTGAAGATCAGATCGCGTGCTTCAGGGTGAGGCGTTTTTTCTTTTGCACACGGGTTGTGAACATGCCAATTGCGTTCTGAGGACAGGCGAGGAAAGAAAGAAACAAATTGGATCATTCCTGTTCGCGGCGGGCCGCCCTACGAGGGTGACGTGCGGTGGAAGGCTGCGCGTTCAGGTGAATTTGGTGAGCGAGTTTGCCTGACCTGACTTGGAGCTTTCTTTGGCCATGTGCTTGTGGGTCACGTGCAAAGAATCACGAGGCTGTCTATTCTGTCATAGCGCCGGTCATTGCCATGTGCAGGCTGCAAAACGTCAAGTCGGTTGACGCAGGGCCCTCCCTCCAGGTGCAGCGCTCAGCGCCGCATTTTGCGCAGCTTGGTCCTTGAGGTTGTGATTATCAAGTCCCCAGTGAGCCGGCATCGCCCCTGGTGAGTCACGGCTGGTGACTGTGCCGCCGGCTTCGAAGCACTTTGCATTCTGGACAACCCAAACAGAGACATGTCAAAGAACAGAGAATGAACCATGCCAAAGTCCTGAGCCTGACAAATTTTGTCCGCACCTTGCATGTCCGCCTGTTGGTGTGATTCTTTTCTGAGGAGCGAACAACCCCAACACCCGTGAAGAATCTTCCAGTGTTGGCACCTATCAAGCCTCTTTGGGCTTTGAAGTGGTGGGAGGCAAGGGATGCCTTAGCTGCCCTGCTCGCAAGGCCTTTTGCGCGAGCTTGGCTGCAGGCATCCACGGCAATGCCCCAGTTTCTGTGGACGTGTCTGGCACAACAGCTTTCCCAGGCAAGGGCAGTGAGGGCAGTGGATGAGCCACGGAAGCTGCTGCAATGACGTGACCACGAAATGTCTTAATACGCCGGGTGAAGACAAAGCTTGCCAGTGGATATGCAAGCGAACAGTTCATCGCTTTCACAGGCCATGACAGCCTACGCATGTTACGGTGGTGGTAGGACCGTGGCACCCATCATGGCATTGTCACTTCAGACGTGCCGTGACGCAGGCATCTTTGACTTCAGCCCCTTGCTTGTGGGCCGCAATCGGGATGCAAGAAAGGGGCACAAGACTCAGAGTTGGACAATCTGCAGCATTTTGTGAAGGCCAGATGCGCATATCAAGCAGCACATCGACAGCTTTCGCATCACCAACCACTCCTTGTTCAACTCCTGTTTTATCAACCGACATTTGTAGTGAAGGGCGGGCCATTTTTGTGGCATGCGACCAGGGAAGATTTCGGGAAAGTTTGCTAAGCCTACGGAACCGTTCAGCAAATATGCTAGGCATGTTGTCTTCCTGTTTCATGGTGTGGGCTGTCCTGATGCAGAAAATCAGACTTGTCAAGCTTAGGCTGTTTTATCTGCTACGCCTTGTTGCAGAAAAATGCTGTTGCTCAAGATGCGCAACCAGGACATGGAGACATAAATGAAGCAGAACCAAGACGTAGAGACATCGAGTGAGATTTGCCAATAAGTTGCCACTTAGAAGTTGCAAAAGACTGCAAATCCTCCGCGTAGGTTCCTCATGGCTTCCAGAGCTATGGCGTGGCTTCGCGCTAATGCAGCAGCGCTGGGCGTTGGGATGCCCGTTGTCGGCGTTATTGGCTGCTATGCTTGGAATGCCACGGAGACCCAGCGCATGGCGCGACAAATCTGCAAGGGACATTTCCAACCAGATGCTCCTGCAGACTACGCGGAAAGGTTTTGCCTTTTTGACAGAAACATGATGGAGAATGCTCAGATGGTTGGCCTGGTTGGGTTGAAATCCACAGGGAAGTCCAGCACTCTGTCGCACTTCCTGAGAGAGAGGCCAAATCCCTTCCACCTGAAGCTCAAGGATGGCAACCTCTACGACGCGCTGCATCAGGAGCTGAAAAAGGCCGTCCTTTGTCTCCCCTTCTTGGCCGACCGTCTCCGGTGGGACGCTGCGAAGACCAGTGAGGACATTGTCATCGAAGTCTTTAAGCTGGTGCAGGAGCAGACAGGCTCGCCGGTGCAGCTCGGGGTGGATGTGGTGTTGAACCCCATGATATTGCCTTTAGAGGCGGCAGACAAAGCAGTGAAGACTGTGCAGAATGTGTTTTTGCCAACGCCGAGCTCAGTTCCAATTTTCAGCTCAATCAACATCATCAAGCTGGTGAAGGATGTGAAGTGGCTTTGTGCCGATGAGAGGGTGGCTTCGGCAGTCATAGCGTCCAGCGAGGGCTTAGAGCTTCTGAGTGTGAATGAGCCAAGGCTTGAGAAGCTGATGGCAGAGGAAATGCCACTCGAGAAAGCCAAGGACTACCTCAAGCACATCCACGCCAAGGACTACAGGGACGAGATGCTCAAGATAGTCCCACGAACCTTCAGTAGCCTTCAACGATTCAAGACAGCGCAGGACAAGGAGGCATTTTGCCACACAGAGATGGAGGGGTGGATGAAGAGAGTAGAGGCATCTCAAGAGCACTGCCCCCACGACGGCCAGGATGGAGGTCTCAGGGCTGCAAAGGTTCTCTACAGCAAAGCGCTTGGTGGAGCAGTCAAGTACAGGGACATTCGCCAGCACTGCAAAGATGAGCAGAACTTCGTGGCGAATTTCGTGAGACCCAACCTCTTCACCCCCACACCAGGTGGAAATTACAAGTTCCGATTCGATTGTGTAGCCGAAGCAGCGAAGACTGTGTTCGGCCTGTGAATGCCCTCTGTCCGTTTGAAGGTGGCAATCTTTTGGATGCCACTGCAAGTTTGAACAGGTTGTGAAGAGCAAAGAGATGCAAAAGTTTGGGCATCATCATCAGAGCACACGATGATTTTGTCAAATAAGCAATATGAACAATGCAAAAGCACAGAAGTTGCAATCTTCGCGTTTGTTTCTGCGTTCCCTCATGCTACCCACCAGTTGAAGCGCTTGCGCTGAGGTATTGACATGATGGAGGAGACGGGAGCGGACTTCTCTCACCTGCACACACACACATCCCACACATATAATATAGTATACCCCACTCATTCACCCCCCTGTTTGTCAGAAGGGACAGCGTCGCAATCTGGAGCACCAAAATAAGGGATCGGGAAAGGGTTTCAAATATAAATATAAATATATATATATATAAATAAATAATTATAACATTATACATGTTAAAGTGGGACTATCTGTGTAAACACCTGATGACCTAACTGTGTCAAACCTGTGATGTGACAGCTCGGCACTTGTTGTACTCAGCGGGCGAGGGCTGTAGCTCTATCTTGTAGGTAGGCTCAAGGCCTTGATGTACAAAGGCCAAGGTCATGTACAAGAGTGGACGTACATTAACACCCCCTCTATTGATGTAGATTCTACAACAAGCCAAAACAGTTTTGTTCTCAAGGGTCGAAGTGATGTAAAAGTTGTTAGCAGCTCTACTGGCTGTTTCTCTTTGTACATCTATGCTTCTAGCGGGAGGCTCTTCCTGTAATCATTGATCTTCTCCATTTACTCAGGGTAGAGCATGATGTTCCTCGATGTGAGGAAAGCCGCATGGTCGTTGTGTCCTCGCATTTGTTCCATGGACTTCGCAGCTGTGGTCACGATCTTGTAACCCGAGCCGCATTGTGCTCATCTTTGCAATCACTGCCGCAGAATGCTTTGGGGACATGTAGCTCAATGAGGAAAGTCCTGTGCAATCAGGAGCTTGTGACAGTCCAGCATAAATGGTGTCCTGACTTTCATAAGCAAGCTGTCTAGGGACAGGATGGCGTTGTAGGAGTGCATGTATCCTCCCTCCCAAGTGTACTTGTTGTAGATGTCAAAGAAACACGTACCATGTACCAAACGCCAAGCTGTAAGGCTTTTCTCTGTGGAGCTCAACAACCAAATGCTGTTGCTGTAGATTTTGCATCTGCTGCAACATGTAGCCTCTGTTGAATGTATTGCTTTTGACCTCGATGTGAGATCTAGCAGCTCTGTCAAGTCACAGTGCCGTGTCAGGATGTAGAGATCCGTGGTGTCAGCTGTAGCCAACTTGCCTTCGCTCATCAGAAACAACGTTGTGGTCGCCGCGTCGTGCGGGTTGGTTGTAAGGACTGTAAAGTCGAATGATGGGTAACGTAGGTTGCCCGGGATGTATCCGATCTTTTCCAACGATGTCGGAGTTGCCCCGAGGTGAGGGCGATGTACAGCGCATTGCTGCGGTTGGCCAACGAGAGGTTGTGCCAGGCTGTAATGCCATGGTCTGCGCCCTTGATGTTGTCTGCCCTGATGAAGCGATGTCGACCACCGATGTGGTCATTCGGTCGTTGCATCTCTCCGGTAAACGGGCGTGTGCGGTCATGGGCAGAGGTGTAATTGGCTGCATGTCCATTGCGATGTATGGACCCGATGTACCTCCAGACCAAACTGATGTAAACAAAATGGCTGCAGAGATGTATCAAAACATTGTTTGAGACATGTGCAAACTCCCATGCAAATGTAGCTCCCAAAAGATGCTGGGGAAAAGATGTAGCGGTCATAAAGACAGGGTCGATCCATGGCTGATGTATCTACCCTAAAAGATTGTAACTATGCCGGCTGTTAGGTAGTAAGACAAACATGTGTGAACTGTGCACCTGTTGTTTAACAACCTGTGCTGACTACTGTACTCACTGGTGTGAAACTGTTGTGGTGTGGCCTCATAGGCCAACATTGTACAGGTGTTTGTTGAGTGTGTCGCAGCCAACAAACTTGGTAAGAATGTCGGCTGTATTGTCTTCTGACTTTACCTTGTGCATTGTAATGATTTTGCTCTTGACAAGTTGTTGTATGAAGAGATGTCGCAGCTCGATGTGCTTTGCTTTCTTCGATGTACCTTCTCTCATTGCTATTGATTTTGCTGCGCTGCTGTCTGTGTGTATCCTGATGTTGGTGCGTACTTCAAATGCTTCCTTGATGAAGTTGCTGGTGTAGAGGCTGTCCTGTGCTGCTGTACCAATCGCGTACAGTTCTGGTTCTGCTGATGAAAGTGCTATTGTTGCTTGTGTTCTGCTGCCATAGTGTACTGCTGCTCCAAAGAAGTACAGTACAAACCCTGTTGTGCTTATCCTTGTTGTCTCGCATGATGCCCAGTTGGCGTCTGATTATGTGTCAATGTTACATTGGAATTCGTTTGTCCTGTGTTTGTATCTTTGGTCGCAGGTTGTGTCGCATGTACCTTGTTCCTTTAAGGTATCTGATCATGCGCTTGAGCTTCTTGTTGTCAAGTTGTGTTGGTGCTTGTAGTGATGTTGCTAGCTCCTTTGCTCCATAGCTGATGTCTGGTCGTGTGTATGCTGGCCATTGTGTTTTGCCAACAAGCCGCCTGTGTTCTTGATCTAGTGGTGCCTCATCTTCTGCTGTACCTTTCATGCGTGGTGCTGCTGAAGCGCCAGCGAGAACTGGAGGAGGCGCGGGCCTTTAACAACTGGCTAGGCACCTGGACGTGAGCCGGTTGACGGAGGCAGCACACTGCCAGGCACCCCAGCTGCGCTTCGCGCGCGCCGAGCGCCGGGGCGTTGAACGCGCAGCGGACGAAGTTGCCGCGCAGTAACGGATAAAAGAGATGAAGGGGCTTGGTCCCACGCTTCAACCAGCGCCCGCTCTTCGAGCAGGTTGTGCTACATTGAGCGGGGAGTACTTGCCCCTGGACGAGCCGGACCGCAAGGCCACCACGTTCATCACCAGTCACTTCTACCTGGACTTTGTGCAGTCCTCTGCAGCACACCCCTGCGGGCAATTCCAGAGGAAGCTTCGGCCACGGACGAGGACTTGGCCCGGATGCGCCAAGGCCGCGGAACTGCTTCGGCGAGGACGACCTTGCAAGAGACCCCGAGGCCGACGCGCTGACAAACAACGGTCAGAGTCCGCGCTCCATCACGGGCCGTTTGCGCAGCGCGGCCGACGGAGCGCAGGCAGCTGCGGACCCAGTGGGCGCAGGAGCAGCAGGGCTTGCGGCGGTGCAGGCCTTCCGCTTCCAGCTCCCCCAGGACGCAGCAGAGTACGTGCGCCTAAATGTGATGCCCCGCCAGAGCCGCAGCCACAGCCACCTCCGCAGATCATCGGTCGACCCGACGACGTAGAGCGCCTCCTGGACGAGGCGGGCAGCGCGCGCAGCAGGTGGAGCGGGCGCAGCCTGGCCATTGAGGAGACGGCAGCAGTGGGTGCGGAGGAGAGGTCGCCGTTGCCGCCGAGGGCGTGGGCGGGCCTTCGGGTACCTGGGAGGCCTGGCAGAAGGAGCAGCAGCCCTCGCACTCACAGCGGGCAAGGTTGCTGGAACGCTGGCGGCAACGGCTGGGTGGGGCTTGCAGGCGGCGCAGCTTACGGTCTCGCGCACGGCACGGGCTGGGTGCTGGAGAACACGCTCTTCCGCCCTCAGCAGGGCGTGAACGACACTACTCAGCCCCAGCGCTTCACGCTGTAACCACACGCCACGCCCCTTCTCAGTCCCAGCCGAACTCCCGGGCAAGCTCTCGCAGCTCCGGACAGTCACGTCAGAGCCGAGCTACGACCAGCTGCCCGAGACATCGAGGCGGCGTAAAAAATCTATTCTCCCACAGACACCCTGTGAACAACTCTCGGACGCCCCGCGCGGTGCACCAGAGCGGCTACGCGGACGTGCTGCTGCGCCCCACCATGTGGGCATCCTGCGCTGCGGCAAGATGCTGCCGCCGCAGCTGAACCTGGTGATAGAAATCGAGTTCGCAGACGCGACGACTGCGCTGTGGTCCGAGAACGCCGGGGCGCACCCGGCGGGAGCCACGCTGAGCACCGACTTCGAGATCCAGAACGTCCGAGTTCTGGCCTCCCAGGTTGTCCTGGACTCTGCGCTGGTTGAGTCCTTTAACTGCGTGCTCCTCTCTGGAAGGTCGCTTGGTTCAGCTATCTAGGGTGCCTCTCTCTTTAGAGGGAGTTTCCCAAACGGATTCTATTCCACCTGGTAGGCGTCATCGTTGAATGGTGTTGGTGGCACGCGAGGCATTTCACCTGGCCTAGAAGGCCCTGACGGGGCCCAGAGCCACTTGCAATCCCTGGCAATCGCGTCGTCCAGGTCCTTCACATTCCACTCGTCCGTCCAGGAAACGACCTCGTCCTGCGAAGGATTCGAAACCTAAAACGCTGCGTGCAGGCGTGTGGCTGCAACATAACGACCCCGAGATATGCTTGCAATTTGGCTCCAGGTTGCATTTCAAGCGAGCCAACCTTTGCAGGGCTAAGAAAAAAACAAAAAAAAGAAAAAAGGGGTCCCAAAAAAGGGGTCCCAGCACGTGGGGGCCAGGATCTGGAGGCTGCACAGAGCCTACCGCTTCGCCTGCAGCCCCTTCATGGCGGGCTTCATGGAGCTCAAGCACAGCGAGCGGAGGCAGCTCAAGACGGTGGGGAGCCGAGAAGGTGGTGAAGCTCACCCAGAACGCCATCTTCGGCCGCTGCTGCATGAACCCCGACAAGTTCAGGAACACGAACGCCTACGTGGACCCGGCCAAGTTCGAGCGGGCCGTGGGCAAGAGCTCCGTGACGAAAATCGAGCTCCAGATCAACGACTCGGAGGGGTTCCTGGCCTTCGTGGAGACGCTCAAGACGAACCGCAGCAAGGCCTGCAGCCCGCACGCTGCAGCTCTCCAAGCTCATGATGGAGAAGGCCTACTACCTCCACATGAGGAGGCTCTTCCCGAAGATGAGGCTGCTCTTCACGGACACCGACTCCGTGATGGTGCAGATCTTCGAGGACCCGCTCCACGCCATGGCCGAGGCGAACCTGAGCGGCGCCACCCTCTTCGACGTGGCCGGCAAGTCCAAGGACCCCGAGAGGGACCTGAGCGCGCTCTCGGCAGCGGCGCGCGCCAAGGCCACCGAGGTGATGGGGCAGCTGGGCAAGCTTGGCGACGAGACCTTTCCAGCCAGGATCCTCGATACGTCGGCCTGCGCTCCTGGTGATGGTGCTGGGTTGTATGTGTTCATTCCTGACTCTTCCAGTTCCAGGATGATGTCAACATAATGGTTGTTCAGGCTGATGTCGATGCTTTGTGTTAAGGAAATGTATGGTTGATCCAACTGCTAGGTCGCCTGTGTGTCTCAGCAGAACTTCCTTTTGTATCCTGCTGAAGAGCGTGTTGATGATGCTCTGTACTCCTATGAAGAGGAGATCGTCTACATAGATCATGATGTAGACTTGACAGTCTTTTGATCTGTAGACATTGCTTTCTGTTGTGCATCTCACAAGTTCAAGTGTAGACTGTGAGAATGTGTGCTATGTGGTCTTGCCATTGTTTTGGTGATGATCGTAGGCCATAAATGGCTTTGTTCAGTCGCCACATTATGTGTCTGTTGTCATCGTTGTAGAACTCATGTGGTGGTCGCATTACCAGATTGTAGGAGATTGCTTCTGCATGTAGAAATGCAGCACTGACCGACCAGTTGTACACCAGCGCGCGCAATACAGGGTCACCAGACCCTATGCCTGGCTCTTTGACGACCCCAGTGGCTGAGTGCTAAGAAGCAAGCTCCCAAGTATGTTCAGCCTGCCTAAAGCGCCCTTTCGGTGGGGCTAGGGAAGTTGGACACAGCTATAAACAGTTTACATCTGTGTTCTTGACCAACACGATCAGCAAAGAGCATTTTGAAGTCCGAGGGTTTGGGGATTGTTGGTCAAGGGGATATGCTTTCACTCTCGGTGTCTGCCCTTGCCAACTTGAATCATTGCGGTAAGCATTCAGAAAAAAGATTGGTCGCTTACCGCCGCAGGTTCCTCCGCTGGCGCTTCATTTTACAGCGATCCGCCAGAGTATCCATCAAACAGTGCTTGCCGGCTTGACTACTGGCTCCTTTCTCGGTTTTGACCTGCAACTTTGGCTCAGCCTTTGCAGTTTTGCACCGCAGGTGTGGACTGTAAGCAGCGCAGTGCGTGGGCAGCCCTGTTGCCTTCATCCAATGGCTGTCACTGACGTGCAGTCCCGCCTCCATGGCTGTGGCATTCAGATGGTGCCTGCTGCTTTGCCACTACAAGGATCCTTGGGCCCTCGCGGGTGCCTATGGCCGACCACCACCCGGACCTTCCCCTCCTATCACGAAGCGCAAGGACGGAATCTATCTGACACCAACATCATGATCCGTCGCCAGCTTGCTCTCAACATCAATGAAGTGGTCCCACTGGGTACGGGGCCCCTGCAGCTCTGGTATTTCGCCCCTTTGAGGGTTGAGTGCTTCAGCCCTTTCGGTTGACTGCCCTGCAGCAGCTGACAGCGTGCAGAAGCAGTGGATATGCAGCCAGACGAAGAGCCTCTCGATGCAGCTGTCCCTCGCCACGAACCAGAGGAACCCCGGCTGCCTGGTGATCGCCGGCAACACGGGCAACGTGGTCTGCAACACCAGCTTCACGGATTTGTCGGACAGTTGGGTCAAGACGGAGATCGCCAAGGCCGACCTGGGGGAGCTCCAGCAGCTCTTCGACGCCGCGGAGGCAAAGCAGTACAAGTGCCCCGACATGAACAAGGACCTGAAGGCACAAATGCAGGGCAGGCTGGACGCGGTGGATTCTTGGCAGGCGGCCGAAGAACCAATGCTGTCTACGAGGGCCCCGCGCCGGCTTCGGCAGCATCGCGCAGACGCTGCAGCAGGCTCAGTCCCGCAACTGGGGGTGGCTCCCTCCCCATGACGTCTTCCCCAAGCATGTAGTCATAGAACTCATCCAGCTCATCTTTGGGTGAGCGTGATGGTGGCTGGAGTGCCACCACCATCAGGAGGGAGGTGCGCCAGATCATCAGCACGCGTCGGCTGCGCTTTCATTGTTTCTCTGAGGAGGCTCCTCTATGATCCACTCCGCGTCCTCTTTGGATTGCCTCTGGTATTTAAGTTCCCCCGGCTTGGGGTGTAGAGCCACAACCTTGTTGAGGTCCAGAAGGGTGCCCGTCGCAAACTCCCCTCTCAAGAGGATCCGCTTGAGCGCCCCCTCCACTCCAGCTTGGTCCTGAACCTTAGTTGTCTCATTGCGATCTCCTCTGCCCAGCATGGCCCTGTGGTCCACCCAGCTCGCTCAGCTTCCTCTTCTTGAGGCTCCTGAGGCATCCAGTGAGTTCTCCAGCCTGATTACCGCAAGGATCAATGTGGCTGTGGTATAACCGTTGAGCTTGTCCGCAAACCCCAGATCCCCACAGGAAGTGAAGGCGTTTCTGGACGGCCTCCGGGTCAACCAGGACCGCCCGCACAGGGGCTACAACAGCTTCGTGCTTCTGGAGCCCATGAACCAGCTGCAAGTGCACCTGACACGCGCTAAAAAAGTGGACGCTGAGCCGCTGAAGACCGTCTTGCGACCACCACAGCAGCGAGCGGGCATGAAGAAGGTGTTCCAAACCCTGGGGGTGCCGGCCAACGTGTACTCCGACGCTTCACAGTTGCCTTGCTTTTTCCTGGCTGGTCCCCTGTTATTGGCTTAAAGCAGTGAACAGGATTCTAACCCGTTTGCTGCCGGCGCTTGCAATTGTGCTTTGGCGATGAGTATTGGCGCTGTTTTCTTGTGTTTCACCTTGCTGCCACCTTGCCTTGGATGGCCTTTTCCCTGATTTAGAAGAAGCTTTGTGAGGAGCTTTGTAAGAAGGTTTAAAGAAGCTTTATAAGAAGCTTTAGAAGAAGCTTTATAAGGAGCTTCATAAGAAGCTTTAGAAGAAGCTTTATAAGGACTGGAAGCTGGCCGCGGTTTTTGTGTGTGCAGACTTTTGGCATAATCCAGGGACTCCTTGCATGGATGGCATGTGGGAAAGCGCGACTTATGGTCGTGACCTGTACCTGGCCGACGTCTTGTTCGGGTCTCCTGGATGGCCTTAATTCAGGAATATGTTTGTTGCCCGCTGCTTCTTCGAAACATTTTGGCTTTTTATGTTTTCCTTCTTGTCGACCGGTGATTGTGCTGCAGGCGACGTCAGTGCATTTCTGGTTGATGACCCTCTCAATGCCGACTCCAACACAGATATTCACCAGCAGATGTGATGACCTTTTGGCAGTGTGTCCCCTTTTTCCACGGATTTCGCAGAGCCTGTGTACCAGTTCCAAGGATTGCTCGGTGGTTGTGACAGATATCAAGCCGGTTGGGTTCAGGGATGGCCTGTTCCATTTTGAGGCGGTGGCGCCACAATCGGTGGCCTTTCTTCCGGGGGCCGCATTCACTCCTTCGCCTTCAAACACACATGTGTCGATCCACTGTGATGTGGACATTCTGCATTGGGTACAGCCGACCTCGCAGGTTTTGTTGGCGCATGTGGCTTCTCGTGTCAAGCATGCGCAGGTTTCTTTGGGTTTCAGGCTGGCGACTTCCGCTTTTGCTACAATTGATGGCCAAGTTGAGAAGGCCACACACAATGTCCTTGAGAGCTGCAGTGGTGGATTTGCAGGTTGGGCGCGGGCAGCAAATTTCCTTTTTCAGCTGCAATTGACTGCGACCGGCAAGCCATGGATACCTACATTGCCAATTTCGGTGGAGTTGAATGTTCGTCTCAGCCTTTTTGTGCTTCAGATGTACTTCGTGACAAGATTGTCCTTCAGGAGAGTATCAGCCACCGCAACTTGCTTCAGCTCCATTTCGTACAGCAATGTGTGGTTTGGGTTGCTAGTCCACCTTGCCCAGCATGGAGCAAGGGAGGGCGAGGTGGTGGTCTTGAAACAGCTGTTGCTCCGCATCCTGGAGGCCGCGTATATGGCAAGGCCGCATTTTCTCGTCTTGGAGAATGTGGCGAACATTCGCGAAGATTCGTGCGGTCGTGGACCGTATTGGTTACTTCTTTGTATGGCAAGAAGTTTGTGACCTTGGTATGGTTGCACCGATGAAGCGTTCTCGCTGGTTGGCCATTTTGATGAACAAGCAGATTGGTTTTGCAAGGCTTGCAGGTAGATGGCCCTGGAGATCCCCGCCATCCCTCTTGACGAGCGACATATTGCTGTCCAGCACATGTGAGAACCATTTCAAAACCTTGCGACTCGATTGTCAGACTACGGATATTTACAACGATCCTCGTTTCGGGAGGAAGGGAAATGCAGACAGTGTCATTGTCGCCCGGGTCCCTGTGCTTATCAATCAGCTGCACTGCCATGGCCCGGTACGGCTCTCAACATGAATTGGATCCGGATTTGAAAGCTGGCCAGGGTATTTTTGCTCAGCTTTGGAGGGATGTTGCCTCGCCTTCGGGTTTTCGGTTCTTCTCCCCTTTCGAGTTTGCTTGTGCCATGATGATCACTGAGGACATTGTGCTTCCCCAAGATCCCAAGGTCGCCTGGAGACTGGTCGGTAATGCAATCATTCAATGTCATGCCGGTTTGTCTTGTGTCTTATTGACAAATTGCTTGACCATGGCAAATCCATGTCCCATGTGAGTACTGACGACATGCTTTCCTTGATGATGCTCAGACGATTCAAAGCTAGCAAATGCGAGTTGATCAGTACCGGATCCTGGTTGCGGTTGCAATGTACTCCGGAGTTGGAAGATGAACTCACCCAGGCCTTCCTGACCAAGATCAACGTCACAGTGGTCTGCAATTTGGGATTTTTTTCCGTTGAGTGCAACACATTGGACATGACCTCGCAGGTGTGTGATAGGGTTCCGGCCATTGCTGCCTCTTTGGTTTTGGACTCGGCCACTTTTTCAGATGTTTCCAAAGATGATGAGGTTTTGCTGCAATCGGACATGGTGCTGCTTGCATCCCAAGTGGTTGTACTTCTATGGCGCATGCCATTTCAATTGCGCGGGTGCAGTATTTGATGTATGTGCTGGAGTTGAAACAGCCAGATGAATCTCCCCAGCAAGTGTGGCAGATCTTTTACGAGGATCTGCTTGTAGCGGCGGGTTTTTTGTCGCTTGCGGCTCTTCATGACTTGGGTGGCACTTTGTGGAATGTGGTCCGTGGCCATTTCTCAGCTGAACAGATCCAGGATATCGCGGCCGGGCACCTTCTCAATGTGCATGCAAGTGCTTTCGTTCTTGCATCCAGTGATTCCACCCTTGCCCGGATCTTTCAGGTTGGACCTCCTGATCTGGCAGGTGTGCAAGTGATCCGGATGGTGCGGGTTATCCATCAGCCCCAACCCAGACTCCCTTTGACACAACTCCGGATAAGGCACGTGATTCCCCAGGACGTGATGTGATTGTGCGCATTGAAGGTGAGCAGGACTTGGTGGTTTCCGCCCGTGTGAGACCTGCTATTTTGCGCAGGATGCTGTCATTGTCTTTTGCCAGTGACCACATTGCAATGTGGCAGGGAGCTCCTATCCCTGATGTGCCCATTGGCCAACTTGCTTCATCATCCGGTATTGTGCATTTGCAGTGGGATGCCGATCATGTTGAATCTGTCCCGCCGGCAGATCATGCCGCAGCGCTCGAGACGGACCATGGTGGAATGTCTCGTTGTCCTAGTATTTTGCAATGCCCTTCTTTTCGTTCCCTTGTTGTCTGGGCTGATCCGCAACTGGGTGTGCTGCAAGATGCTATCATTGCTGCCCTCCCACATGGTGAGCACACTGGATACTTCTTTGTGCATGGATGCCGTATTCTCAGCAATGATCAGCCTTTGCTTGAATACAACATCAGCTCCTATAGCACTGTACGTATCTGTGTTCGGCTGAGAGGAGGGGAACCAGCGTCTGGATTCAAACCCAACGCCGTCTTGCGTGCCAAAGGACGTGCAGTTGGTTTGCTTGTGGCAGAGGTGCAAACTCCGCCAAGGCGAGTCAGACCATCGACCAGCTTTTCGAGGTTGTGCCGCCAGACACCATCATGTCCTCTGTTTTGCAGCAGCAGGATAATGCAGCATGCAAGGATCTCTGTGCACTTGCAGATAAGCATAACATTGGCCTTGCCAGTTTGTTGCCCCATCCGACTTCCTTGTCAAAAGGGAGCGATCAGAAGCCTTCCCGAGAGCGAGGCCGTGTCAAGCCCGTCAGAGCCACTGTTGACCTGTGTGCTGTTTCTTTTCCAGAGGGCTTGTTCATAAATGCCGATGGCACTCGGGCCGCCATTCACCGGGACTTCTCACTGATGCACCGAGGTGTTGTGCTCCACCCACAGATTTGGCTCATCCTGTAAAGGAGCAGTGCCCCCCCGAGAGCGAGCCATTGACAATGAGGTGGCGCTGAAAGGTGTACAGCATGCGCATCCATGCATCCACTACAGACTGTGGTATACCAACGTGCCTGAAAACAGCTGCGACATGGGCTCGCGGAAGAACATTAAACATCTTTTCGACGTCTGTTATGATTCCCATGAGCGGTCTAGACTGCGCCAGGGCTGCTTCGATAAGGAGCTGTAGATTCCAGTACACATCCGCGCAAGATCTGCCTGGTACAGAACCCACCACATGATGGCTCATTGAGGGTGCAACCCCAGCAATCAATTTACGAGCCAAACATTTCATGCCAACGCGATAAATCAGAGAAAGGACCGTGATGGGCCGGCAATGAGAAATAAATTGAGGCGCAGCGATTTTGGCAAGCAAGTATACCTTTGCCTGGTCAAAAGTCTTTGGCAGTGTGGCTGCATGGAGGAAAATGTCGTTCCATACACAGGCAAGAGCGCCCAGGACTTTGGGGCCCAACGACGCAAGCTCAGGCTGCGCCCATCCATCTGCCACGATAGCTGTATTGCTCTTAGTGTGCTGGATAGCCTGTTTGATGTCATCACCCTTTAAGGCAAAGTCGAAAGATTCCAGCGAGATACCATGAAGGAGGGAGAGTTCCGAAGGGGGAGGCATACTCGCCCCCAAAACTTATCCCAATAGGCAAAGAAGGCCTCACTGAGCTGGTCAGGGTGACAAGTCCAGGCAGTACCTGAAATTTCAGAATCTTCTCCAAGCGTAACCTTTGAAGGGACCTCAAAAAACTCGGGTGGGGATAATGGCACCTGATTGACACACACTGTCTGGAATTTATTCAAGACATTCAGGAGCCGGACACGGACAATCAGCTTGCCCTTGTCTCTACGGCGGATTCTGGCCCATTCAAGTGGGAAATGGATATTCAAGGCTGCGATGTCCGCAGAACGAGTGCCATTAATGATGCGATGCACCAAGCGGCCACCTTCCTTGAAATTTATCTTTACGATCACGAAGCTCACGGGCAATGGCGTTATTGGCAAAAGTCTTGGTATACTCCAAATTTCTTGAAGGATTGGGATCGTGGAAGGCGATGGGATTTCGCCTGGTCCACCTGCACTTTGGAGCCACTGCAGGAAAGACGTCCCAAAACCACGTGCTGACACGATGGACTCAAGAAGCTTACATGCCATCGGAGTGGGCCACATTCCTCCCCGATTATGAAGGATCCGGATGAATTGTTCAAGGCGGCGGACTTGTCGTGTCACCTGCTTGACATGGACAGAAAAGGGATCTCCCGACGGTTCAAAGTCGCCTGACTTACCAGGCTTGACCGCTTTGGCGCATGGTCGAAGTTTAAAAACAGGAATTTTACATCGCCCGCGCTGGTTACTTTTAATCCGGAGATGCGGATCATTAGCTTCCAAGGCCCGCGCCCAGCTATCCTCGACTGCTTTGCTCCACCGAAGCAAAGCATCAGGCATGCACCCAGACGAAGGTGTAGGGCTGCATGGCAGAGCACCAGAGCAAGCATCACCTGCATCAAGCTGGGACAGCGTACTCTCCATGAAGAAATCATCAAGGCTGCGAGGCTCAATCACTTTGAGTTGACTAGGCGTCAAACGACGCGGTACGTTCCAGTCCCTCCTTTTCCAGTTAATCAAAGGGAGATTGAGATCACAACAAATGGGATGATGCAGGGGAAAGCGACGGTCCCGGATCGTATGGACGGCACAAACTGCTGAAGCCAGTTCAGGTGAAAACAGAAAGCCCTCATGCTGAATATGCTCCTGATAAGTTGTGGCCATGATCAGTCACAGCCTGACGCTCCGGTGACCAGCGGTGATCTCCTCCGGATAGGCACTGCCAATGTCACTCGCCTTCAGGACCGTGTGCCTGAGGTGGTATCTATGTGTCCAGGAACGTGGCTCCTCACTGAAACCTCATCGCGAGCTTCAGAAATTCGGACGCATGCAAATGCCTTTCGTGCCAATGGATTGCAGTATTTGCCTAGCCAGGCTTGCCAACCCCGAACTAGGAAGATGTTGAGCAGTGGTGCCAGCACATGGGGTGGTGTTGCGATTGTGAGCTCCAATCCAGTGAGAGCGGCTAGAGATCCCCTCTTACCTTCGCTCCAGGCTACAACCCGCTTCCATAAGTGCTTTCTCTTCTGCCAGCATATCGAAATTATGGTTCTTACCGTATATTTGCCTCCGGATGCAGAGGCACGTGACCGCCGAATGCAAAAACTTATGCTTGCGGACGCCCTTCTTGATGCGGCAGTAGGTGCTGCTATGCAATGGGGCGGCCCTTGTGTTATCGCTGGTGATTTCAACCGCGATCTAGATAATCTCGTCATTTCACCCTTCCTTGCAGCGAAGGGGTGGAAATCTGTCTTTCAAATTGCAAAGGACCATCTTGGTGTGCATGTAGGCTCTACGTGCTGGGCCTGGATTATCAGCCTCACCCACGCGTGCTCCGCACAAAGGATTCATATCCAGGCGAGTATCAACCTGGAGTTGCAGAAAACAGTACATCGTTTCTGGCACATTGAATGAAAGAGAGGGGCAGCATTTGGTAGCTGCGATTCCACACGAAATGTGATCCCAGGAATAACGCCTTGCCACATCACAAAGGGATAGACAGCACACCACCTCCCAGAGGAGGTCGCACAATTGACCTACATGGCGCAAGATACAGTCGAGATAGAAATGGCTGAGAGCAACATCACAGTTGATTTCCCGATGCCATGCATCTTCCCAGCAACGGTGGTGGTACCACTCAGACATTATTTCAAATCGACTGGCAAAAACCGCACATGCAATGAGGTCAATCCCAACACGGCAATCACCCAATCGGAAAAGGAAGAGCCAATGCTGACGTCGCTGGTCACGCCACCGAAGAGCCGAAATGCAGAAGCCTCAGGAAACGAAGTAAGCTGGCCACAAAACTTCACTCCCCCGAGCTGACACAGTAGACGGATAACGCAGAACCCAGCCTAGGGGACATTCATGCCTTCTGGCTGGTCACTGGCACGCGATCGCTTTCGATCCGGCAACTCGCCCAACAGCTCAGCCATCGCTGACATCAGCTTGGTGCTCTGATCTTCCAATGCACGGCCTAAGGAACATGAGAAACCTTGCTCCATGCGCTGCTGCATACTCTTCATGTCATCATGGATTTCCGAGCGCACCTCCTGTAGATTGGCTTTGGCACGGTTCTCTGACTGAACGACATGTAACTGAAGCTGTTGGACGGACTCCTGCAGGGCGGAGAGGTCTCCTTGCATACCCTGAAACTTATCCTCATGTTCGCGCAAAGAAACCCCCAAGAGGAGATTCAACGCTGGGTCCCTGAGGGTGAGGGATCTGCTTGATGGGTTCCTTCCCCCATGGATCATGGACCTGCAGCACGTCAACATCAGCCTTAAGCTGCGCACCATGACCACCGTCAGTGGAGCGCCTACTGGCAGAGCCAGAGCCTTTGAAGACACCGGCAACAACCACCTCGAGAACGTGGGGTTTCTCAAGAAGGCGCCTGACAAGGACTGGCACGTCATTGATGGTCAAACGACCTTCAGGGGGTTCTTCACTCGCACCGATCATCCATCAATTTTGACGAAATCTACGGACAACCTTGGCATTCCAGTCGAGCTTCTGGCACCACTGATTGATATCCTTGGCTTCCAGGCCAGGGGGTCCTCCTTCAAGGGTCCAACGGCTCGCCACGTTGATACTCATCGGTGGTTCCTTCTCAGGCTTCAAAGCAATCCACGCGGATAGAAAATCACCACTTCGGAGACGAATGCCAAAACCTGTAGATGATGCAACAATCCCAAGATGAGACTTCAGCGCAATTGCCGCAGAGAGCGCATCGGCGCGGTCTCTGCCGGTCCATAGGATACGGTGGTCACGAAAGATTTCTGGCAAAGACCCATCCTTGGTGTCAGGTCTGGGAGTCTGGGGGACACACACATACACCGGCTGAGCAGTCAAACCTGACAATCTCACAATGGCTGATGCGGACTCCATGTTGATTCGAACGAACATTTCGAAGCGGTCTGCATCTGAAGGCCGCTTAGAACCCTGCTTGCTGAGCCATTCACGGCCCCATACCTGATTCACAGCGTCTAGCTTGAGCATGGAAAGCATCAACTTGGCTGGCGATGTCTGAAGCTGTTGCCAGATGGTTGGATCCCATTCAGGTTGCAAAGCACTCAGCAGAAAAACCGCACAATTGGCCACCTCAACCAAGGCGTTGACGGATTCAGCCAACTTCACTTTGCCTTGCCCGGCATGTACCAAAAAGGCCCGAACCAGGCAGGAGTTCTTGCCATCTGAGATGGGGATGACAGCAACTTCGGAAGTCCATGGAGGCGCTGTTTCAGTCGGGATGGTAGTCAAAAAGGACATCTCGACACGTAAAAGAAGTTCACCTGCGGAGATCCCATGTCTGTGTTTGCTTCAGTGCTCATTGGTGCCCTTTGGAGTCTAAAAGTGCTCCAGGTGCCTGCCGCCATTCCTTCAGCGTATGTTGATAATTTTGAGATTACCAGTAATTGTGTCAATAGTCTTCGGCAAGCCGCCTCAGAGTGGTGTCTCACTTTGGACTTGCGCAAATCTTGGCACTGGGGAGTTAACCTCTCCCAGCGCACCCTGAATGAACTTAAGCACATGGGAACGACACGCAAAGTCGATGCCGTTGACCTTGGTGCGGTTGTTAGATATGGGCGCGTTACTTACAATAAGTCACTCCAGGACCGAGTGAAAGAAGGCATCACCCGCCTTGCACGGCTCGCCCCTGTCCCGTTGGACTGCAAAGACAAGGTCAATGCCATCCATGCCGGAGGCATCCAGACTTGTTTCTATGGTGCAGAAATTTACTAGGCCAAGATCTCTTTAAGAGTGTTCGCTCCGCCGTGGTGAATGTGTTGCTACGACGCCCTTGGAGTGTCTGTGCATTGTACGGGCCTGATGGCTCCGATCCCTTTTTATGGGTACTCTCCAGGTGTGTGCGCCAGGCCCGAAAAATGTTTGTGCCCAACGATCTCAAATGGAGTATCGCACAATCAATGCTGAGCAGCTACGTCACCCCTAGAACCCGGGTGTATGGTCCCCTTGGAGTTTTGCGACGGTACTTGCAGGTGGTCGGTCTTACAATGGATGATTGTGGATTTGTGCTCTGGGGCACTGCTAGGAAGGTTCACCTCTTCCATGACTGCCTGGTGGACCTTCAAGCGCTCATGTCCGAGGCTTGGGACTTCACTCTCACAATGCGACTGCGAACTCGTAGTGGCGCAGAACTTTTGCCTGAAATTGACGCTCAGGAAACCAGCTTTGTCCTTGAGAAAACTCCTGAGTATTCTGCTTGTCAGGCGTCAGTGCTACACCTTACAGGAGGTTGGCCCACGCGCGCATAGTGACGGTGGGGGAGAGACATGTGAGCATTGCTCTGAGCGCGATACCCTCTCGCATAGAGTACTGCGGTGTCCGGCATTCTCCACGGTCCGGGATGCGCGCCCAGTGCTTTCTTCCCTCAGTGAGATTGATGCATTACTCCCATGGATTCCCCGGGACCCGTCGCAGGCCTTGTATGCCCAGGCATGCCGTTTGCTGCCGGATGGTCCACACCCGTGCAATGTGTGTGATGAGGACGTGCTCATCTACACCGCTGCAGTTTACCCAGCCATCCCAGCGGCAACAGACTGTGCATACGCTGTTGTAGTGTGCAAACCTCCGGCTATTGACCAGCTGTTGATATCGCCAGAGGATCTAGGACTTTTTTCTGGTTTCTTTCAGGTTCACCAGACAGGTAAATTGCCAGGGAGGCAAAGCATTAATCGTGCTGAGCTCTATGCTGTGCTTGTGGCTGTGGAGGCTTTTCCCACATGTAGAATTTGCGTGGATTCTGCTTACGCTTTAGGCATCCTGGATAAACTCCTGGTGGGAACTCCTGTGAGTAACTGGATCAATGCCCCAAACTTTGACTTGATCCGCCGAATTTCTGCGGCAATTGCCCTTAGCCCCGTGCCTAGGAATATAAGGACAGCCAAAATCCGTAGTCACCAAGCCCTGCCGAGTGCCGACGCTGCAGTCCAGGAACTCCTGGACTACTGGGGAAATCTTCTCGCCGATAAGGCAGCCACCGAGGCTGTTCGAGTTGATAACCCGAGGATTCTGCAACATCGCGATCGAGCGCATGCTACCATCCTTCGAAACCGAACTAAGTACCCAAAAATATTCGATGGCCTTGGCGCACTTCATTCACAAAAAAATGTGACTCCTGAAGCTGCAGTGCCGCCGGCTGAAGAGTCTTACCCTAAATGGACTAGTGCCCCAGAGGCGTACATTCAGCTCGCCATGCCATTGCGACCCCAATGGCAATTTGCAGCCACGTGGGGTGTAACTTTTTTCGGACGTTTATGGGAGTGGTTTTCTTTGCTCAGGTGGCCGCCATCTAAGCAGCCTGATGAGTGCATTTTGTGGGTTGAGCTCCTAGTTGCTTTTCGAATGTGGTCAGGTTCACGGCTCCCGGTTCCTGCTCCCGACACCCCCGGAACTTTCATCCTGCCACACCTCAAGCCAACACTCGCTGGGAACACTGTATCCCTTGGTGAAGAGTGTAAGCGATTCCAATATGCTGTGCGTACATTGGAAATCTTGCATGGTGCACCATTGCTGCCATGGGATGGCACTACCTGCGTAGACGCGCACCGTGTTCTTGGTAGATCAGGCATCAAGTGCATGGGATTTTTGGTCAGGCCTTGGTTCCCTCTGCAACATGAAGTTGATGCAGCCCTGAGAGGTTATGCTCAGCCCATCCGCGGCTGCAGGCGTTCAAATCCAAGGGCCCGAGAGGAACGTGTCTTCCATATCCTGCTAGCTAGGTGGATGCGTCTTTAGCGATGGAGATGGGAGCATTACTCCCGGCGCTATTTCTGTGCTCCTCAGGTGGCCTCTTTGCATCATATGCTATTTGACTTGGCTTCTATGGTGCTGTGGAGACCGTTTTGCTACAAGCCTGATTTGCCATTCTGGATGGGCAGGTATCCTTTTGCCCCAGTGCAACTACTTGGCCAGTGTTGGGATTGGCTGTCCTGCCAGCTTGTGTTGCAGCCTGACGGCCTTTCGGGCGAGGTTGGCCAAATCAGGAACTAGATCTTTGGTCGAGAGGCTGTGAAGTTGGGCTTCACCCTGGGTGGCGTGCCCTCACCATTCAGTTGTTTCCCTCTTACACGGCTGTGCACTTGTCAACCGGCGATTATGCTGTTGGCGATTCAAGAAACCTGTTTTCGGTCACCACGTGGGCTATCCGCCCATGCGAGGATGCTACACATGCAGCGCATTCTTGTCGCTTGCATTGCGGTTGCTCTTTGGAGCTCGTGGTCCTCCTTGCTGTTCTAAGGAGCGATTGTTTCCTCCCTGCCCTTGATGTAGTGCTTGGTGGCGATCACGGGAAATACACTTTTTCCTCACTGCATATCCTCATCACTTGTTGCTGGGTTGTACATAGCTCAGTCTCAGCACAAGTGAGTGAAACTAGCAGGACTGCTGAGAAAAACTACCTTGCGGAAGACTCTATGCCGCTCATCCAGCTGTGCTGGGGTCCAACCCCCTGTGGATCTTTTCTTGGTAACGATGTGTTCTTGCAAAAATCTCATGATATGCGGCCCGGAATTAGGAACTTGTGTGGTAGTTCAGATGTATAAGCCGTCCTGGCTTGTGAGCTGGGAATACACATGGTTCTTTCACTCTTGTTGTGCTTTTTCCCCGCAGTGCATTGAATCTCAACCATATGTGTGAATTGTCAGGCAGCCAGTTTGTACATAGCTTCAATGGCCCTGGCTGTTTTCATAATCCAACTGGCTTTCCTCTACTCGACAGCAGGTACGCCGATGGCAATCGCGCTTTCATCTCTGCTGCATGCAACCATTTCAGAACTCTAGACGGCGTTGTGTCAGTGTGTACATAGCGTCTCACTGGCCATCGTCCCGATGAAATTGACTTTGCGCCCTGAACTCCGGTACTTGCAGATAGGCCATCCTTTGGCGCCTGTGCCCCGCGGTGTTTGAGTTCTGGCCGACTCTTCGCCTTTTCTGGGCTGTGCAATGCAGTATCCGGTTAATTCAGTTGCCTTATCGCAACATGTGCATGTTTTTGATGTTAACGGCTTCTGCCTTCGTTGATGCGAAGGCGTGCTGCAATGCGACAGGCGCTTGGCACTCCACTCTCGGTTTTTTCCCACATAGTCGTTGGCCCTTGCTGGGGTCTGTCCCTAGGGGGTTCAGGCCATACTTTATGGTATCGGCCTGTTCCCCGGCATCGTATGCAAGCGACGTGGGGAAAAAGTAGCTGCCGCTGCTTTTCTTTAAGGGGCCAGTTTAGGCTTGGAGCAGTGTTGGCTCGCATTTCCTTGAGCCCTAATTCTGCTCGTTGCGTCTCGCTCCTTGGCTTTTTGGTACATACCATCTTGCACGGAAATGGTTTCTTGACAACTGCTTCTTCTTACTTGGAGTCGCTTCACGCAACGCCGACTTAATTATGAAAACTTTCATCTCTTGTGCAGTGGAACCTATCCATCCCTTGAAGCCTTCACCATTCATGGTGCGAAGCACTCTTCCGTAAGAGCGGGGGCCCTTTCATTTTTTGCCAAAGCGTCCAACTTTCATATTTCCAAAATCTGGGAACAGGATCGACATATGACCAAAACAGCACTCAAAGCAAACACCGAAAGAAATAACCATGTTGAAACTTGATGACACAGCAACAAAACTGACAACTACAGTTAAGATGTTTTCGTTATATTTGTTTCTTCTGAATGGCGAAAAAGGGTTTTTGCCTTGCGGGTTCCAGCATGTTTTTGATTTGGACGCTGTGGGCTGCAAGTCACGCCAATCTTCGTGCAGAGACAGAAGCGAGGGCGATGCGTTGCTAAGATTTGTTGCTTTTGGGAGATGCCTTCCCTGAAATTGGCGATGGGTTGCAGGAGCCAAGTCTTGTGCCAAGCAAGTCAAGAGCTTTAAGGCTACAGATAACAAAACGTTATGAGCAAAGCGTGCGTCTAGCCGCCTGCAATTTGCCCCAATCGTGCCATGGGTAACGTGCAGCAGGCTGGGTCCAAGATTTCTTCACAGCGATGGACCCCAATGTACCAAGCGCAGTCTGGAAGTTTACCGAATATTTTTGACGCAACATGGTCAACACTAGGTTGGGGTAGCAACTATGCCACCATTGGACTCTTGCCATGTTGTGAGAGTCTGATTTGGCCCAACCCGTTGCACAAAGCTCAAGTCATGGGACCCATATCTTCGCCAAGTCTTGGCGACGGCCCAATGCGACCTCTGTGCAGGTCTTTTTTGGGCTGACAGGGTTCTATCACCTGCTTTCACGGGGACTAGCAGGGGCTCGGAAGAGATGATGTGAACATGTTTGGCCTTTCGGATGTTCAGATTTTCAGCTCGGTTTTATTTGGACACCGATTCTAGAAGACAACCGAGTGACTTTCTGGGGTTCGAAGCCACGGTTTCTTCTTGTCACCCGAAACCGCAGGTCTTTCGAGACATCACTGAAGATGGAAACGTGTGGGACCAGGACATGGATGGTGCTGTGTAACGCATGTCCTGGTTTTGTAGGCGCTTGGTCGCCTTGGTAACCTACAAACAAATTCTGAATACACTAAGAATTTCTACTAAAAACACTTCCCCTTGATCGACCAGCAACTTGGCCTGTTGTTCCGCTTTGCCCGCCAAACTCCGTGGCATTTGTGCAAGTGAGCTTCTGAGCATCGGCGACAAAATAACAGGCGCGTGCTTCAACAGTATGTGCAGATTTGGGCGTGACTTGTGATTGGACGCGCCAACCAACCGTTTTTGAGGGGGTTCCCTATTGAAACTCTCTGCAATTCTGCGGAGCTCAAAATCCACAGCCAGGGTTTGTGCACTTGCAACTAGTTCCAATGGGCGAGGACAACGCTCAACCCCCCTGTTGGCCAGCCTATTCAGTGCTTGATTCCTAGATCTGCATGCTGTTGAGATCATTTATTAGGGCCGGGGGGCTTGATTGATTGCAATTGTCCCATGAGCTGTAAGCGAACTCTCTGTGCGCTGTTGTCTGAAGTCTGCGCCAGTTTTTCGTGTTCTTTGCAGAAGTTGCTTCGCAATTGAAACTTTTGATATGAACTTTTGAACTCTGCAAGTATTCTCCGTGCAAGTTATCCAGCAAATTGCCCCTCACGAGCGCTTGCACCCGGGAGGAGTCTTTGGTGCTGCCGTGCCACAAGGATGTGCTTTCGGAGGACGCCCTGCCGCTGCCCAGGCAGCGAGCGAACCCCACAACTTGCGATGTTCCTTTGGGTTCCCCCAGCAAAAGGACAGCAACAAGAGTTGTCGATGCTCTCGGGCCATTGCCGCTACACCATGCCAGAGACAAAAGTGGCTGATAGACGGACAGAAAGAGGAGACAGGCGAGGAGGACGGCACAGACAGGAGACTGACAGAGACGGAAAGAGACAAAGACAGAGAGAGGGATAGAGAGAGCGAGGCAGACGGACAGACAATGACACCTACATACACAGTTCTGATCTTTCGCTCTGTGGACTTCGCGCCTCGATAGAGGTGAAAGTGAAAGGTTGGAAGAGTTGTGTTACTTGTGTTGGATGACGTGATTGCATGTTTGCTCTGAGCCTTTTCTGAGCTTCCCAGCGAGTTGTGCCCCTTTGTCACGCTCCCTCGCTCCCTTTCCCAGTCTCTTCCTGGCTCCGGGCGCGAGCGCTGGGCTCAGCGCGACCAGCTGGGAGCGAACGGAGACGCTGAGTCCATGTGTCAACGTCCGAGGCCTCAAAACCTCGGCCTCCAGATCCACACTAGGCTGGCCGGGTCAGAGGATCCAAGAGAGTTCTCCTGGAAATGGTACTCTTCTTTCTTTATGTTCCAGGAGTGGAATGATGCGCCTCCGAATGATTCAAGACAGCCATGACCAGTAGGAGAACAGAGAAATCTCCAATTCCAAGACACCTTTTTGGTGCGGCAAACCAGAAGAGGACAATCTTTGCAATTTGGGTGTGTTTCTTAAAGGGGCCACAAAATTTTGCCAATTGGTTTCCCCTTTACAGCAACCCAGTATTTTCCTCACAGACCCCATCGAGTCGGGAGGCTCCGAGAGCTTTTCGGAGTCCGAGGATGGGCACGGTGCCTGGCTGCCTCAAGCTGACGAGGTCGTGTTTTCGGTTTTTGGTTGGAGTTTGCTCGGCAAATCGGACAATTTGAAAACTCTCTCTTCCAGAGTTCTTTTTTTGTAACACCCAAGTTTGTGTGGAAAGGGTCAGCTGAACAATGAGGTCTGGTCTGGGCGCAAACAAGTGGACCAGATGTTTTATATCGCTCGGTCCGTTCAGGGCTCACAGGCTATCAGGCCAAGACACGTCAGTTCCCGAGGTTTGGCAACTTTGACCTCACTCCGCAAAAGGCCAGCTGAGGGCCTGGATATGAAAGGGTTTTATGGGGTGGGCTAAAGAATCAGAAAATAGTTTGTTCAGTGTACAGATGTGCTGCAGCTTTCGCATGTTTGGCACGCAAGAAATCTGGGCCTTCCATTGGAGGTATCGCGAATTGAAGAATGGACTAAATGCTCCGACAGGGACAGTGGCAGAGGGTTTCGGCGTTTCCCGCCGAAGATTGACCAGGACTGTTCTGAGTGATCAGAGATTAGAGCCCAGCTAGCGGGGCCTGCCATCGAGTGCTCTGCTTCCCGGGTGCCCTCTTCATTGGTTGTGCCCTCCAAACAGGGTACCGATCGAGGGCTCAAACGCTCATGGATGGCAAATAGCTGAAGCAGAGGTCCAATGGGTTCTACCCTATGTTTTGAGAGACCTCAAATGTCAACAACTTGAAAGGGCATCTTTGTTTCTCCATAGTCACTGGGCAATGGGCTGCAGTCACAAAGTTACGACTCGAAAGCAAGGACAAGTGAGCAGCGCCCAAAACACACATTGGCTATTCTACTTGATTCTACTGTTATACAATTCCTATACAAATCCTTTACAACCATGTTTGGCTCTCATATTCTGTGGGAATGGTACTGGCACCAGACAAGGGACTAAAGGGGCTGCGCCGTCCGCGCTCAGGTGGTGCTTCAGTCCACGGGGCTTTTCACGAGCCGTTGGGAGGAGCCACACGTCAAATCAAGCCGGTGTCAGTCGTCTTTTCGGAGAAGACACATCCGAAGATGTTCAATGCACTTGGATGGGCCCTGAGTACCCTTTTGTTTCGTTTGGTTTGGGAGCGCCTGAAGGGCCCATGAAATTGCTTGCAACGGAAGGCATTGGTTCGCGAAGGTTGAGAAGCACTCCCGAACAATGGTCACACTGCCACCACAGCCACTTTATGTACCCAGTTGTGTTGCAAAGGGGCACGGGTCCCAAACAATGGATGTGGATCTTCCTTAAAGGTACGGAGCAAAAGAACATCCGCAAGCCTCGCGTCGCAGGTCTCCCCTTCGCGCAGGGGGCGATGGCACCCCGTGCGGCTTGGCTTTTGTTCAATGCGTTCTAGATTGGGTCCCCATTTTCGGAACATCGTGAGGCCGAAAGGTTCAAGGCGTCAGGTAGTTCCATGCGACAAGTTCAGCTACATCCTCCTGCCAGAGGCCACAAGCAAGTTTCTATTTCAGAGCTCTGCCTTTGACCATGGTGCTCCGTCCCAAAAAGTACCCAAAATCAGAGGATTGCCAGTGGTAATGCGAAGTCTAGAACGTGCATGCCATTATGCTTAACCTGAATGTCGCTTGTAGTGGTGGCAAGCGCACCGCAGCCTTTCTGCCACTGTCAGCTTAACAAGTTGTTTTCTCCTATGAGCTGAACAAACAGACGACCGACACAACTGAGTCAGCTTCATGAGACTTTCGAGCGTTTGCGATTTACTTTTGTAGAACATATGTCAAGTGCTGCACACAATTGGAGAGCGAGGGCAGTTCATGTTCAAATTATTGGCCGAGAAACATATTTCTTGTCAGAGAGATAGAGATGTTCGATCGGCATTGTAAGTGTGCTAAGTCCCCGCACGATTTCGTATCTAAGTTGGGCTCCAGAGTGGAGAGAGCTGCGCTTTCAGGTCACCCTAAGTTGGTTTGGAGTTGAACTGGTTCTTGTGGGTAAAATGGGACACATCCCCGCCAGAGCACCAAACCAACCACTAGTTAGAGGGAGGCTGCCTGTTGGATTGCGGTACTGTTCGAGTGTGTTCGGCCATTCCGATCTTTGCCACGAAGTTGATATAGTTGTATCCGCGATAGAACCTCCAAACAGTGGCCGGGTTTTTCCAAAGGCCCGAAAACCCCGAGCTCCCAGGTCCTGCAGGCAGGTCCTCCTCTCCGAGGCGAGGGGCTCCGGGGTCATTTGTCCCAAACATGTGCGCATTGATGTCCTTTGGACCCGGACGAGGCAAAGGGAAAGTGAGTTGACGACTCGGGACGCCAATGGCCCCAGAGCGTTACCAATAATTGGTAAAAGGCCAAGGTGCTCGGAGGTTGGTTGCATCAGACCTGTCAGAGTTGAATGGCGATGTGCAGCTGCTGGCTTGAGCCGGATAGAACATTAGTTGCTGCATGGCTGAATTGTGCACCTTTCTGACTCGCGGCCTCTCAACTTGATCCAGACAAAAGGCTTCAAATCATGCAACCTGTCATCCCGCACAGATGAATGAGTGTTCAACATGTGTTTCAGCCAGTCAGATCCCCCGCGCGGTTGCGGCCCAGGGCCAGGGCCTCCCCATGGACTCGGTCTTTGCATGGGTTCAAGGTCTTGGCAGCTCCGAGCTGAAAGTGCACGAGGTGGATGATGAGAGTGCCAAATGCCGGCCATTTGGTCGGAAAGGTTTTCTTGCCTTTTTGTTTTTCCCTTGAACCACAGACGTTTTTTGTGGCACTGTTCCTCAGCCGACTGCTCACCTCGACTCAGAGTTCTCTACCGAGTCGAATTTGTGCATTGAGCAAAGCGAAGAGGGAAGCGGATTCTTTCGCTTGAGGATCAAGATCGTGCCCGCGCTGAGCGACAACTACATGCTCCTCGGTTTGGACCTGGAGCAGTAGTGGGTTCCTGGTTTCATAGCGTGTGCTTCCAAAGTTAGGGGTTTTGCTCCTCGTGACAGGCCCTTTTGAAGGACACCCAACGTCATGACCCCTGCTTTAGCTGTTTTGCAAGGCTTTTTTTGCCAGAAGCTGATTGGAGCTACGCCAATTGGGACTGCAAACGGGGTTTTCATATACAGGGCTTTCACATTGGGCACAAGAGAAGCTATACTCACAGCTCGGGCAGCCTTACGGGACATGGAGACATGGTCAATCTGAATACTTACCCTCCCGTTCGCCGGGAAAAGGTCAGATGGGTGTTTCTTTTTTTTGCCCCGGGTCACATTTCTTCGCCTCATCGGTGGTCAGCCAGGGCGAGTCCTTCTTTTTTTGGCACAAGATAGGGGGACTAAACAAGTGTTTCTCCGTTTGGGCTCCCTTTAAATGCAACCACGGGCACTCTTTTGGTCTTCAACACTTGGCCGTTTCAAATCCCTTTTGTGTCAAATCCCTAGGCAGATGTTCGGCGCCGAGACGCTCCGCGTTGTAGGTACCTGGCGGTGAACGTTGAGACGCGGGAGGCGGTGGCTGTGGACCCCGTGGAGCCGCAGAAGATCTTGGAGCTCTGCAAGTCCCTGGAGGAATTCGGGGGAAAGGGGAGCGGGGAGTGATCGGAGTGATGGGTAAGGAGAGGGGTGGTTCAGATTGGCGTTTGGAAAAGCAGAGGAGAGAAGGGGAGAGAGAAAGAAAGAGAGAGAGAGTGATTGAGAGCGCAGGGAGAGCAGTTTTCCTTCTGAGGCGAGATTTGCGGGTTTTCATTTTGCCACGCGCCCTGCTCCGTGTAGAATGCATGAGTCTGAGTCAGTTGGTAAAGCATGCGGAGTACCATTTGTTTGGCAATCATGGCATGGACCGGGGAGCTTTTTGAGATGATGGTGGTGTTCCAAACCCTCCTGTGCACTCGTTCTCCATTGAAACTACCCGGAAAAAAGAAAAAAAGAAAAGAAAACAACAGACAAGAAAAGGGTTCTCTTAAACAAACCAGCGCATACACACACACAGACGCGCACAAACGCGTACATTCTGCTTGCCATGGTTGGCAGAGTCGTGCGCATTTTTGCGCTAGGTGAGGCTGGTGGCGGTGCTGACCACGCATTACCACAGCGATCACTCAGGCACCGTTCTCATTACTCATTTCATCCTCTCTTTTTGGGGAGGGACACACCACTGGTTTCAGGGCTGCCGTATATCGGTAAAAACATGAGTGAGTAGCATGGGGTTGCTGGGAACTATTAAGCCCAACTACCTCATGGTGAGATGGTGGCAGTTGTAACTATTTTGCTTCTGATGGGTTTGTCTTGAAGTAGAGGACCTCATCCTTGCAAGGCAAGGAGTTCGTGAGGAGCCAGCAGGCACCCTCAAACCGACCTTCATCACCGCAAACCCACCTTCGGGTGTGTGTGGGGGTGGCCATGTCCTTTCTCAGTTAAATTGGGCAACTTGGTGCACAGTTTTGCACTAGTTTTGGTTGTGCACTTGCGCACTTGCACACTTGTGTAACTTGTTGCCCGGGTCGACTGTTGTGGTGACCTAGCAGGGACAACACTTTTCTCGGCAGCCACATGAACATAAAAGATCATGTCAGGACAATGAGGAGTTGACGGCATTTGAATGTGTCAGGCAATATTTGGTTCTTTGATCAACAAAGAGTAGATGTACATGACAGTACACATGAGTTGCCCCCTCCCCCCTCCCCCGCCGCCATGGTTGGGTGATGCATGAATCGAGTCGAAGATGCCCTCAAAAGTGGCTGGCTGACATAACTGCCCGTGAAAATGATGGTCACATTCGCTCCTTGCCCTTGTTCCCTCAGAATTTCAATGTTCAGCCTGCCTTGTAAACAGCGCGATTTGTCCAAATAGGGGAATCACTCCAAAGACGGCTCATTTTCCCACGGGTTTCCCACATGGCCCTGATCCAAACTTGCCAGGCGGCAACAAAGCGCTGTCGGAGATGGTGCCGGAGCTGGAGGTAGTGGCCGGGGAGCTGGACGCCGAACCTTTGGCCAAACGCCCATTGAGATGTCAAGAACATTAAGGCTGGGAAAGCACGAAACACCAATGGTATTAGAGCCGGAAGGTTGTTGTTATATATATATATATACATATATATATATATAAATATATTTGGCGTCCCAGCCCATTTTGTTGCTTCGAGTTTCTGGATTTGAGCTGAGATTTGATCCAACCCCCTGGTCCGCTTGCCCTCATGGAAGCTGACCGGTGTTTGGGCCCGGACTTTCCACTTCCATTGGAAAGAGGGTGTTGGGTCACAGTGATGGCGCACATCCCCTGGCTTTATCGGCAACCATCTACTTTCACAGGAGTCAGCAGGAATTCACTGGGTCCAAAGATGTCTAGGGCCACAAGCTCAGTGGGTCAAAGGGGCGACCAGGCTTGGTTGAAAAAGGACGAGCAATCCGCAAGGTCAATTTGTTTCCGGGTCCCAATTTTCAGCCGGCCGACTTTCGGGGCTCTACATTCGCACCGAACTGAAAGACCCAGTCCTTGCCTTCAACCGGCGGGTCCAATTTAGAGGTCCACCCCAACTATCAGGGCCTCATTCCTTCATGGTCGGTTTAACGCGGACTTGCGTTCAACAAGATTCTTGACTACTCAACCTAAGTTTCAACATTGCTTTGCTTGCTTGCTTTGCCTTGCCTTGCTTTGTTCCGCTTTGATTTCCTTCCCTTTGCTCGCCTTTCCTGTCTTTTGCTTTGCTTGGCTGTGCTTGGCTTGATTGTTATTCACAAGAGAAATATGAGAATGACTCTTTCAAGCATTTGGAAAAGAGAGCCCCTGAGCCCTGCGAGCGTTGCCTTTTCGCCGTTCCGTGTTCATTTCCCCCTATCATCGCATGCAAGAAGCTCACAAGTCATGGAACTCGAAAGGGGCCTGGACTTTGAAATCTCGATCTCCGAGATTTCCCTTTCGCCATCGGATTTTTGAAGCACGTTGCCGATTGAAAGGGAGTTTTCTTTGAGTGGGGTGTAGGAAGTGTTGGGAGTGTTGCAGGCTTGGTTTGGATCTCTGTTCCTCCTCGTCGCACCCCCCCCCCCCTTCCGCCCCCTCCATCACCCGTTCGAGGATCGCACGCCGGCAGTGACGCGGCGGGTGAAGGACGGCGAGACCTGCAGCTTTGCAGGCGAGGATGGGATCGATTTCGTAAGTGTTGTCTCTTTTTTGAGGCTTTATACCCTTTGTGAGGTTTAAAAAAGCACCAAAAAAAACCAACTGTTTTTTGGGTTCCCCTTTGAGACAAATCCACTTGGAGTATCCAGACCAAATCCCAAGTCTTGGAGTTGCTTTGTCTTTATCAGCGACCCGTAAAAAGAACCCCGCTGTTCGGCTTGGTGATCCTGGTTTTTGTAATCGCGCACATTCTTCACCAGTGTTTTTTATGTGTTTTCTACTGGCCCTCGCTTCTTTATAGGGCCGACACCAACTCTAAACCCACCCTAAAGTAAACCAACCCCAACAAGCCCACCATAAACCATCGCAGTACCCAAAGCGCAGCCACACTTGCCCGAAACAATCCTGGAACCCACCACGTTCATGTCACTGACAATTTGCGACATTTGTTTGTTGCCCACACTGTGTGCATCTTGTTTTGTGCGGCATGAAGACTATCTCAATGTAAAAAGGCATGACAGCAAAGACAGCAAAGAAACCCCCAAACCACACATTCCATTTTGCCTCGCCGGCTACTTTGCGGCCCCGGCTCCCGGAGCCGCTGCTAGGCAAGAGCCGGTGCTAAGCAAACAACAACGCCTCCGGCCCGACCCGAAAAAGCCAACTCAATAGTTTGCAAATACACCCGTGTCCATCATAGCGAGGGGCATGGCAGTACCAGGAAGGCAGGCCGACCGAACCCGAGGCCTACCCTTCCGATGTCTTGCTACGCCCTGCCACACCGTGGGCCATGTCTCTTTTGTGCTGGAGCAGGCGCCTCTTTTCTCAGCGAGTCGCCATGAACCATGTGGAATTTAAACGTGGTTTCGGGATGTTTCGGGAGTTGGCTTAGGGGTGGTTTGAAAAGGGAACTGACAGGAAACACACATTTTGGGGCTCCTATTCTGACTACCCATGTATGCGGCCTCGGTTCTGGTCAGTCCTTCCAGTTGAATTTTGCAAGCCGGTTTGCGGAAGAGAGTCTTGCAACTGGCATCCAAGGACACAGTTTCACTGAGTTGGAAAGACCCTGCTCCCCTTTAGGTGCTGGTGTGCTGGTCAAGTGTTGACTTCCCGGGGGCTGGTGGAAAGCTTGGCAGAGTACTCATTCCTTTCGCGCATCCCTTGCCTGCAGTTGCTGCTTGCTTCAGTGGCTGACACTTCGAAACCTCCATTTTTGCAGGTACAAGGGCTTGTCCTTGGTTTCAGGCTGCTCCTGTTTGAGTTGGTTTGAAAGGGAAACGAAAAGGAAGACACCCACTTCGGTGGGTCCACGAGACCACATGTCTTGATCGAATCCTTGCAGCTCTGAGATTCTCGCGGATTGGGCAGCATGTTGAACATCACTTTGATTGCATGGTTGGAGCATCCAAAGTCAGATTTTGATTTCGAGTGACATCATTTTCTCTGAGTTGGGCTGAAAGAAATCGGTCGCCTGGTCAGAGGACATGGTTCTCTGTATTTCTTCTTTAGACGTCAATTAAAGCAGACTCACTTGAAAGTGCCCCGAAAGGTGGTGTTCAACGCACGGGGAACATCCGACCCAGTTTTGGGCTGAAACCATATATACAGCACTCCTAACCGGGATCCGTGGCCCTTGAGCAGGCATCTGTCGACTGGCTGGGGCTCAGTGGGGAATGACCTTCCGGGTGTTGGGAATGAACCGGAAGGGAATTCCCTTAAAGAAAGCCATAGGAAAAGGGGAAGCCAGATTTTCTTGGGGTCGTTTTCCTTCAAGGAAGCCATAGGACATGGGGAAGCCAGATTTTCTTGGTTTTGTCATTCCCCGCCTCTGGAACTGGCAAGTTTCAGGATCCACCGAGCCTCTTCTGCGGGGACACGCTCTTCGTGGCCGGGTGCGGGCGCTTCATGGAGGGCTCGGCCGCCACGATGCATCAGAGCCTCCAGGCGCTGGTGCAGCTGCCGAAGAAGACCCGGGTCTTCTGCGGCCACGAGTACACGGCCGGGGTCCTGGGGGGGGAAGTGGGGGGAAGGGGTGTGTGTTGTTGAGAGTTGGTTTCTTTTTTTTTGGGTGGTTTAATGGACAACTGAAAGGAAACAACTCATCATTCTGGGGGGTCACACTAATTCGACACATGCCCACATATGTGTCACAGCCAGGAGGTTTGTCAAAACGCGCGTGGCAAGAACCTGGCATCTCTTTCATGCTGGAGAGGGAGGTAGCAGTTGGGGATTTCGGTCGTGACCAGCAAATCCTTTGATTCCGCCCCAGACAAACTCAAGCTTCGCTGATCACAAAATCCTCCAAGCCTCCAAGCAGGATTCCAGCACTGCCAGGGCTTCCTGCGGCAAGGCCAGAAATCAGAGGTTGGGGATTTGCCAAAAGCAGGGATGCCAGCAGTTTCAGTTTGCACCCCATGGTGCTATCACATTGAGGGGGGTGGGCATTTCATGCATAGTGAGCTAGTTGCACTAGTTTGCAACATCAAGACCTCCAATCTTGGCCCAAGCAAAGCTGGCAACGCTTTCCAACAAGCGGCCACCCCGAGCTGCCTGACTCCTCGTAGGCTTATGAGAAGAACTTGATTTGACCCCATGGGGATGCCCTCCTTGCCTCTGGCACCACTGCCCTCAGTTGGTTTCCAGCTCAGCAGACCCAACAGGGATTGCAACAATGTCTGTTTCTCGCTTTTGTTCCTTGCCCAAAGGTAGATGTGGAGGATCCTCCCCAAGTGGCCACGCGTGCTGGAAGTGGCGTCTGGGTTTGTCTCCCCAAAAAGAGCTTGGCCTGACAATGGAGCAGTCTTTTTTTGGCTTCGCACACCTATTCTTTGGGTTCCTGTTCCCCCGACCTGGGGGGGAGGCCCGCGTCGATTTTTCTCGTCCCGTTTCGCGTGGATTCGTGAGGTCCCGAACCTGGAGTACGCGCTGAGCCTGGAGCCCGGCAGCGCCGTGCTGCGCGGAAGGCTGGAGGAGGCCAAGGAGCGGCGGAAGGCCAAGGAGCCCACGGTGCCCTCCACCTTGGAAGAGGAGCGGCCGCGGAGAACGCCTTCACCGGGGGTTCGGGGCTTCGGGGTGGGTTGGGGTCCGTGGATGGTACCCTGGGGGCAACTCCCTTTTTTTTTTGGGGGGGGGGCGGGGTCGTTGGAAAGACGCAAATGGTTGGCGAGCCCTTTTGGCTTTTGGAATACCGGGAAGATGTTGAGAGTTCTTTTGGACCTGTGGCGATCGTTTCACTAGAACTCGCCAGTACAAATTGGGTGGCGCATGTTCCAATCGTATCCATTCTTCAACCCCTGCAACTATCATTGAACAGCGGTCCCTGTGCTGTTGGTTCTGTACACTAGACTCAGTTTTGTATATTATATAACATGTGGCCCAAGAAGTATTCAAGAGGATGCCTCCCCGCGTCAGCCTGAGCCACGCCTGCTCTCATGGAAGTCTTACTTCCTCCATTTCCTCCCATCCCCCACTTCGCTTCCCTCTGAATCTGTTCCCTCAAATCCCATTCAAATCGCTTCAGGATCTTTGCCCCTACAGAGATGCGGTCAGACCCTCTCTCTTTCCCCAAGCCTCAAGCCCTTTTTGCCTTTTTGGACCTTATGGAAATGGCTTTTCCATACCTGGAACAGGTGATCCCTCTTGCTCGCTGGTTCAGGGCGAAAAGAGAGCAACTCGGGTCCTTTTGGTTTCCTTTTGGTTTCCTTTTGGTTTCCGAACGAATCCTCCGAATCGGAGCTGACCAAAACCCGAGCGCGAGCGCTTGGATGGCCCAAAAAGGAGCTGCAGCACAACCCCTTCCTCCGGTGCCACGAGCCGCAGCTGGCGCGGGCCGTTGGCCTGGAAGCTTCCGATGTGACCGAGGTGCTGGGCAAGCTGCGGCGAGGAGCCCTTTGGGGGAGATTTACTTCACCTGGAACTCACCAAAAGGAGACTCAAAGGTCTGGGCAGCTTGACACCAAGATGTTGAAAGAACAGGTGTTTAAGGTCCATGTTCAATCAAAGGGTTGGTACCCGGAGTTTTGGGGGAGGGTTGGCTCGCCTTGTGACCTTGAAAAACACACAGCCCCCCCTAAGGAACCCTTTCTTGAGACAGTTGCCTGAGGAGGCCGAAGGGCAAGCGGAATTCTAACACCCCAAACCTGGTAGGATGATTAGTAGAGCAGGTGGAGAGAGTGAGCTTCCTGTTTACTGAAGTTGTTACGGTATGTCTTCAGATGGCAGGGCAACTTTGGGACAGCCCAATGCTATGAGAGATGCGAGAAGCACAAGATTGCTTGCACTCGTTTGCCCATTTTGAATTTGGACAGATCAGCCTGAGAGCAAGGGTGCCCTTCAACCTGAGCATCGTCCTGCATGCGCTTGTATGTTTGCGCTCGACTTCCATCCCCGAACTCAAACGGAAGACAGGCTGGGTGGACAAGATTGCGCCTTCCGAGAAATGCGCTCGCCCTGCACCAGGAAAAGACACCTTCACTACGGTGGGGTCCATCATTACGCTGGCCTTGGATGTCAAAAGCTACTTCAAGCCAGTAGAAACTCCAGAAATCTCAGTTTGAAGGCGAGGGTCCCTTTGGTTTTCAGACCTGAGCCGCCGTGCCAAAGTCTTTGCGCTTTGGGATGAAGACACATGTGTTGATTCATTGTTTGATATTGTGAACTCAAATGATAGGGGTTGACGAGTCAACCATTTTGAAGCCTGGACTCTCGCTCTTTTAACCTAGAAGGGCGCCGCCCGAATTCGCAGCAGAGATGTGACACAGAAAGTCCGACTTCAGCGCGCAATCAGGTCTCCTGCAAGCTTGTGAGGGCTTCCTCGATTCCGGCAGAGTTTGGTGAACTCAAGAGATGGAAGGTAGACTCAATGAACGTTGACCAAATACAACTTTGCTGACATTCTCGGCTAGAAGGCGGCCATGTTGCTTCCAGCCCCGGTTGGCATGGTCCTTTTGGACCAAGTAAATGGACACATGGCAATACTTATAAGGTCTCTTCTTGGAGGTATGCTCACCTGTGTCCGATGCTTTTGGCCAGGCCCGATTGCGACAGCTGCGGCCACACCTGCCCATGCGATGCCGTGCCTTGTCAAAGCGAGTGGGTATGATGTCAAATCGGGACCCCTCCAAAAACAAGGTGGTCCCTTCAAGCCAACCTGAAAAACGTATATACCCGAAAAACAATACCACACGCAAATACACACAGAGACAGACACACACAGAGAGAGAGACACACACACACACACAGACAGACACACATACATACACACACGGACGCACACAGATGCACACAGATGCACACAGACGAACACAGACGCACAGGCATAATATACATGGACATGAACTCATTCATGCGTTCATGCATTCATGCATTCATGCATTCATTCATGCATTAATGCATTCATTCATTCATTCATTCATTCAGTCATTCATTCATTCATTCATTCATTCATTCATTCATTCAGTCATTCATTCATTCATTCATTCATTCATTCATTCATTCATTGATTCATTGATTCATTGATTCATTGATTCATTGATTCATTGATTCATTGATTCATTGATTCATTGATTCATTGATTCATTGATTCATTGATTGATTCATTGATTCATTGATTCATTGATTGATTCATTGATTCATTGATTCATTGATTCATTGATTCATTCATTCATTCATTCATTCATTCATTCATTCATTCATTCATTCATTCATTCATTCATTCATTCATTCATTCATTCATTCATTCATTGATTCGTTGATTCGTTGATTCGTTGATTCGTTGATTCGTTGATTCGTTGATTCGTTGATTCGTTGATTCGTTGATTCGTTGATTCGTTGATTCGTTGATTCGTTGATTCGTTGATTCGTTGATTCGTTGATTCATTGATTCGTTGATTCGTTGATTCGTTGATTCGTTGATTCGTTGATTCGTTGTGCTAAATTGCGTGAGGTTTTTGGGCTGGGCATGATGTAAATGAAGCGCTCTGGACAAGCCTTTGCATTCATTGAACACGCTTTGAAAAACAGAAAATGGGGCCAACAGTGGGCGTATTCTTATGACAGGCCCAGTGTAGCATGACAGGCTAGTTTGTCGTCCTAAAGGCGAACAAATGCAGCAAGGTGCGCAAGTCGAACGTCTTTGGCCGGCAAATGTTCATGCCTGCAGAACTCAGAGTTCAATCGGCAAAGAACAGGTTTGCCAGGGTATGAAAATCAATAATTACTGCGAGGGTCAAAACCATGACAAAACATTCGTGTCTGACGGATTGCGAGTAGCAGCTACCCGCACGCCCTTTCCTGCACGCAGTCGAACTCGCAGGAAACAACATGTGCATTTGAAAGTAGTTGTGCGACCTTTAAAATTTGCTTGGCTGTAAACCAAGAGAAAAAGGGAAACAATACTGCCTTGCGCTGTTAACATGCAGCACAGCATGAGCATGTCAAAGGGATACACTCAACTGCAACGCAAAACAAAAATGACCTGCAAAAGTTCAACACCTCAGAATGAAATATCAGTTTTTTTTCAGGGACCCTGCCACAAAGCACTGGAAGCCCACGGATGAAGACAGGATTCCATCCCGGTGTTTGTGGCCGAAGGCGCCCAGCAGGTTGGTAAATTGACAAAGGCAAATATTCGGTGCACACTTCTAAGCTGAGCCAATGCCATCGCACACAAACACACACACGCACACACACACAAGCTGCGTACTTCTAGTAGGCAACCTACATTAAAAGCAAGCTGCGCGTGAGGATGTGCGATTGCATGACCAACAACATGCAGCGACAAACTTTTCCACTACCAGCCCACCCTCCAACACAGAAACATACAAACAGAAGTACTCCTCATGGGTGCACGCGCGTGTGTGACAGATATATGGCACCCATCTGTCACAGAAAAGAGTGCAGGAGAGTGGCTGAAACTGCCAACAGGTCCCAACCAAAAAGCACACACGATTCTGCGTAACCAGGTTTTTAGGGGGGTTCAAAAGCTATCAGGCGCCTAATTATGTTTATTCATGCAGCACAAGCAGTGCGAGCGAGCGTGGCAGAAACCAGCCCATCATTCGAGTGGGTCATCAGGCAAGAATAAGACGCACTTCCACTATAGACGATACGACACGCTTCCATTATAGATGAAGCCAGAGACAAAGCGACGTGCACGTATTAGAAAGAAGCAAACGCACCCCGACAACAAATTGAACGGACTTCCGCTGCATTGACAGCGTTGCAAGTTCGAATAGGTAAGCTCTATACAAATGACAGCATTCAGAAAACACCCCTGCGTCGCGCAAAGCTGCATGGTAAAGGCAACACTTTGAGCAGGGCAACTTGAACGGAGAGGCTTCCTGAACAAACAAAGGGCACCTGTGCCACGCAGTTCCTGGGAGTCATAGCAACATCCACGCGCTATTCCGTCCAATGAAGGGCACTGCCTGTACAAGATAAAGACGTCGGGAAACGCAGAAGCGCGGAAGCAACGCAAACAGTTCCATGAGTTGAGTTTTTATGTGAAATACGTTGCCTGGGGGCAATATGGTTATGGTTGATACTGGGAAACTCTGACACATACATCAATGCACAGCGCTGGTCAAAATTTGCGTACTGCAACTGAGACATTTGCCAATACATGTCAAGGACGTTTGCCCCAATCATTTGTTCTACATGCTGGTGTGCAGCAATAGCAACACACACACATGCACATGAATTAACTGTCGCGTTCAGCTTACGTGCAGTGCGTGCATTTGGCCTGGCATTCTTCGCCCAGTGTGAATGCGCCGCGTAAGCCACCTCTGAACAAACAATCGCTGGAAGAAAATATACACATGTTTCCCATGAACTAAAAGAACCAACACGGCACTTCCAAACAATCTACGCATACTTGTACGTAATGAGCGCGCACACACATGCGCAACCGCAAAATTGGCTGCAAAATTGGATCAGACCTGATCAAGCGAGGCAACAATGAGGCCTTTGCTATTGGAAAATATTGTTGGCATTTACTCAAGCGCTGGCTGGGGTGGGGTGACGCCTGATAACCCGGCAAAGTCCCAGAGAACAACCGCAAATAAAGACATTTCTTGGATAGGTCCTCGTGACAAAACCCGCATAAGTACACGACAGAACCCATGGAGTTGGAACTAAGAAACCCGGCTGAACCGCTTGGGAAAGCGCAAGTGCTTACATGTGGAACACATATGTCGCAGAACAGCAAGTCATAGACAATTTCGAAAGTGCTCAGCGGTTGCAACTAAAATCCAAAGGCACGATTGTGTTTTTAATCACGCACATAAACTCATCTACAATGCTACAAGGTATGGTGTGTTCGAACTAACATGATGATGTCTGAGCCTGACGGGCTGACAGGTCTGTCGGGTTGATCGATTTGAATGATGCACGTTGGAATAGTACAGCATCAGTACATTTAATGAATGATGCAATAAGAATTCAAGGGAAAACCGCAGTCCTGGACCATCCAAAGCACTATATGCCTTCCACGCGCAAAGCGTATAGACTGAACGTCCCTATTTCGACAGCCTGCTAGGAATGCAAGACTTCATCCATGCATTTCGGCAATTGCCCGGTGAAGCATGCTCGAATGAACAGCATGGACCCACATGAAAGCAACACTGGCATCCATGCAAAGAAATAAGCCTTGGAGCTGTCTTCCGAAATACTGTAACAGTGGGGCCATTGGGCTTAGTTTGAAGGACGTAGCCAAAGCCAAGGCCTGATAAGGCCTGCCCATGTGGGCCTGAATTTTGCACGTGCTCGCTGGTTTGCCGAAACCGGGGTCAGGGGTTCTTGCGAGTAAAGGTGACTGCTATGAAATGACATCTAGCCTAGCAAAAGCAATCTCACAAGGGCGCAAAGTGTTGGTGACAACCGTCGGGCGTGGAGTCGAACCACCACACTTTACCGAATGTCGCGATGATGGCATGTAGCAGTGCGTATCTTGCACACACCTCGGCATCGCCTCACCCATAGGGCAACTGGATCATTTAGCTCAATCTTAGATCAGTGTGTGTAAGTGGTGTGCCTGAGAGGACTTGAACCACCCTCTCTACCATAAGTTTAGTCATAAAATTATGGCTCCAGACTCCAGACCCTCCCCTTGTGCTTTTGGCCCCCTTTTTCCAACCTCAGTCAGAGTTCGGTCGGAGTTCGGTCCTGGCACCTTGTTTCGTTTTTCCAGTTGCTTTTCACTGTTCAGCTTTTTCCGTGAAACTTGTATTGCATATTGTTGTAATGGCCGTCGCGTTGCAACTTTGTTGACACACACACACAAATACATCCCAGAGTTTGGGCGGAAGCACAGCTTCTTTGTTTCCAACCGAATTGCATTTTGGCTTGACATGCACCGTTGTTCTTAGTTTTGTGCGACCGAATTCCCTGTTTTCGGCAAATTCACATTGTTTGTGTTTTGTCGGCTGAATTATTCTTTGTTCGCCCAAATGCGCATTTGTCAGATTAGCTCAGCCAAATTTCACTTTGTGCCAAAATGCACTTGTTTCAGGCTTGTTGCGCTGAGGTCCATCTTCAGTTTGTGAACCAGATGTCACTTTGTGTGCTCAAATTCGCTGAAATCGCACATGTTCATATGAGATTGTTCAAAGCACAGGCAAACAGCAGGCCAGCAAAAGTAATTGAATAATGCACCCGGGAGTGAAGGTGACTTTTTCTAGAACAGTCAGAGTTTTGGTAGCCCTGGACCGACCCCCCTGTTGCCCAGCTTGCACTATTTTGGCAAGTTCAGCGGGAGTTCGGTCGGAAATTGTCGCGCCGATT